GGGGGGGGGGTGCAGTTGATGTGGGTCAGAGGGGCAGTTTGGGCACTGCTCTTGTCCTCTCTATGTCACACGCGAACTTGGCAATTTGTTGCCAAGGCCAGAGCCAAGGTGAGGACCTTGTGGGGAGAGAGTAAAGGGAACATGGCCTGTTGCATGTGGGCTGTATAGGGCAGTCTCACTCTGCCAACCTCGTTGCTAGCCCTTGGCCATCATTATGACCGTCTCAGATTACCCTGTAAGGAAACAACCACCAAAACAGCACTAGCATGTGCAAGGCATGGTCTGAGCAAAACAGAATCCAAGGACCTCTGCAGATCCCTCATGCCCCCCACAGGGTCCGAGGCTTCAGGCCCCTCTGGGGCCTCCTCTCCCACAGCCTATGGGTCCAGGGCTCTCCTCTACCCCCCTCTCTGCCCCCAAGCAAAGAAGTGCAGCCTCTGATGTACCCGGTTGTGGAACTCTGTGCCTTCTTCCTTGCCAGCTTTGTCTAAGAAACACAAAGACAGTAAACAGGGGGTGGGGGAATATGGAGTGCTGAGGTTTTTCTGGGAATGAGAATTAAGATAGGACTCAGGGTCTTTGGCCAGTTCCCAAATGCAATGAGTTTATCACTGCCAGGGACAGCAAGTGTACAAAGCTCTTGGCAGTGACCCCTACTGATTTATGAGGGGTTCTGGTTTGTTTCCACTGCTTTGCAGACAACCAGTCTTAAGGAAAATGTATATCCAGAATCTGCAAGAAGCAGGAGAGCCACTGGCGAAACCAGCGAGCGCTCACCAACAGAATTCCTAAGGGCAAGAGAGAGAGAAGTTCGCATTTCTCTTCTTTGCTTTTTCTTGTCTTTTCTTGTTTTATTTCCTTCCCTCCCTCTCTCCCTCGTTCCCTCCCTCCCTCCCTTCCTTCCTTCCTTCCTCCCTTCCTTCCCCAGAGCCCTCCCTCCCCTGCTCCCTCTCTCTCTTTCTAAAAAACGGATGATTGAGTTGACTGTGAACAAGCAGAACTACCAGAGTCCACATCTGCCTTCCTGACACGTAGGGAGGCACCTGCTCCAGGGAGGGTGACGATGGTTCTCCATAGGTAGAGAAACTGATGCCCTAAGGCCCTAAGTCATACTGGACATCTTAGCTTCAATTCTCAGTGGGGGGAGGGAATCACACCCCATGGCGGTTGACAGTTACAGTACATGGATGTCACCCTGATGAGACACTCCACCCTCATCCAGGGCCAAGCCCAAGGTGTGAGCTTTGCTTACCTGGGATGCTAAGGCAGAAGCAAAACCAACTGGAACCATGGGCAAGATTTTATAATAACTTTAAATGGAATGTAATCTATAAAAATACTGAATGATGCGTTGTACACCTGAAACTCATATAATATTGTAAATCAACCATAACTTAAAAAAAAAAAATTAAAAAAAAAAAAAAAAAAAGCAATGGAGTGAAAGAAAAAAAACCCTAACCCAAAACGACTGGAATCAGCAGAGTCCGAGACATATGCGGGAGGAGGAGGGAGCGAGCAGTGCAAGCTGTCTCAAAACCACACCTGCTGGGCTTCCCTGGTGGCGCAGTGCTTGAGAGTCCGCCTGCCGATGCAGGAGACGCGGGTTCGTGCCCCGTTTCGGGAGGATCCCACATGCCGCGGAGCGGCTGGGCCCGTGAGCCATGGCCATTGAGCCTGCGCGTCCGGAGCCTGTGCTCCGCAAATGGGAGAGGCCACAACAGTGAGAGGCCCGCATAACGCAAGGAAAAAAAAAAAAAAAAAAAAAAAACCACACCTGCTACAAATCAATGTTTTGCAGTGAGGGTCCTCATTTGGAAATCTCCTTTGTTTTTAGACAAGACATGGTGGGCCTCACAGCGCTGGGGAAGGTAATCAGACAAATGCCTGGGCCTTGGGCCCCAAGCATGCTGGAGCAGTTAGATTACTTCTGAACACCTTACAGCCTCCTCT